CTGCTTGCAGGCACTTTAATCCTTTGAGCTATTTGGCCGGCCCTATTGACTTAGATTTTTTTTTCCATAATTTTATTGATAAACAAATAGCAATGTGACAGTTTCAAATCAAATTGGTAGGACAGTTTCAATAATTAACACATTGCATACATTCCTCCCAGGGGTTAATTGCTGTACAAGATGTGGACATGATATCCTATTTACAAACACCATTAGAACAAATCACTCTATTCATTAAGAGAATGTAACTATATATCTATCCTAACCACTTTGAATACAGAGATACAAAATGGACATTCATCTGTATACCCTTTTTTGTTAAGTTCCATTATTTGAATATTATAGGTATGTTAACTTAGCAAAATAATCTAAAAGAGTTCGGTAGTCCATAATAGTATTGGGTCTTCTTCTGCTTGACTGGCAATTCAGAAATTGTTGACCTGATTCCCCCACAGCTCAACATAACAGCATGGCTTTACTTCTTATATTTCGTTTTTATACTTTTCTGTTGGGTGGTTAAGACCAAGGTAAAGCAGGACCTGTGCAACAAGAGTTGTAGCTTTTGGGTCTGATAAGGTCAGTGAAATCCCCTCAGGATTTATCCCGAGATCCTGTAACTCAGATTGTTTGTCAGTGTCAGCCATGTGGATGAGTCACGGCCAATGCTTGGCCAATGTGCTCTCTGTGAAAGCCTGAGAGAATGTTTTCTCTCCATGTGACTCTCCTTAGGCACATTCTACATCATCGATGACTTTCCTCTTTGGCCCCATAATCTCCTTGATCAGAAAATTTGGGATACTGCTGAGTTACATCACATTACAGTACAAGTTCTCATATGTCCTGAGTCTTAATTGACCTTGGAAGGCCAGGGCCAAAATGTTGGCTTTCCTTGCAGCCCTTCTTTTCATCTAATTTTGGTCTGCAAATTTAGGTTGTTAACCATCCAGAAGACAAGCTTATTGTTATTACCATACAACTTAGGCTGTTAAGCTTAACCTCACTATCTGTCTGCATATCATACATTTGACTTAGATTTAATTGGTTTATCTTACCTTATTTTTCTCTTAGTGTCATGTGTATCTTTCTAAAATTACTCTTTCAAAGGACAGTTAATCTTATGAACCCTGAATGAAATGAGTGGTGCTTCCTGCTCTCTGCTTTTCTGTTGCTTTTCCTTCCTAATTTGTCTTTGTCATGTGAGGCAGTATTATTACTGTTTATATTGTGCTCAGCTTCTTCAAATGAAATGGTGTGAAAGAATAATGAAATAATTGAAAGAGGAAGAAAACAACATGAAACAGGGCTGGTGAGATGGCTCAGTGGTCTAAAGCACCTACTTAGAACAAGCTAAGCCCAGCAAAGCACAGGGACTGCGGTTCAATCCCCCAGCACCACATGCCAGCCAGCCCCGCCCCCTGGTGGGCTGAGCTGGCCACACAAAATAAATAAATAAA